TATATATATATATTAGTATATAAACAATTTAACAGGTTTAAAACAATTTTTAATTTTTTGGTGTTATTACAAAAATTGTACTGAAAAGGCTTACGTTTAATTGCATCAATCTCTATGTTGCAACTAAATATATTGTTTATATTTGCTTTAACGTTTTATAAAACCAGGATTGATTTAATTGTTTGTATTTTACATTTTCTAGGGGTTCTACTCATAAAAATGATGTAATAGAGTTCTGCACTCAAAGAATTAAAGTAGTAAAAGAAAAAGAAGATATAGTAGACAGAGATTCCTATGTTTTGCTATGGGAGTTAATGGTTCTTTTATTAAGGCAAAATGGAGTGAGTTAAAGTTTTTCTGGTTTTATGCAATTATTCATGCTCTTTCTCTCTCTTTAAGCTATAAATGTCTCTCTAAGCTTGAATATTTAAGCTAAGCTTACAAAATTTTGTGCAATTATTGCATATAATAACTGAAATAATTTGTACAAGTTACAAATTTATTGCTACATTGTTTGGCATAAGGTATGCTAAAACTCTGTTTTCCATTTGTAATTTATTGTCAGTCCCTCAAACTTTTAAATTTCATTAATAAGTATGAGAAATCGCATCATTTAACCACTTCTGAAGTTAAGAAATTATTCTTTAAGTATTTCTCGAGAAATGGGAAAAAAATTTATTAGTATATAAGTGTTTCCATTATTTTGTCCACCTCCTGTATAATGATAATACAGCAAACAGATTTTAAACAAAATAACAAATTTTATTGTGGCAAGTTCAGAAAACATAACGAATATAAGTGCAAATGCTCTTTTTTAAGAAAATAAAGTAGTATTGTTTAAAAAAAAATTTAAGTGATCCTAAATTTTGTGGTACTTTAAAACAACTTAAGTGTGTGTATGTGGAACTATTCATGTATTATACAGTATTAAATACATAACTCTTGAGGGGGGTTGCTGTCAAGAAATGTCCCTATGTCACAATCTAAAAAGTAAATTTTAAATAAAAAATTTAGAAATATGTATATTGAACTATAATGTAGAAGCCTTGTGCTCTGTATGCTCTTGTATAAAACCGGTCTCTATCTCTTTTTTTTTTCAAAATTATTGATTTAAAAGTATGAATATTATAAAATATTTATAATTGATCTAAAATGAATTTATTGTTGAGCATTATTCAATATTTTGAATTTAAAAGATTTAAGGCAATTGTACCATAATTTACTGTAGTAATTGCATATAATATTCTTTATGTAGGCTTACCTTACTTGTGAAAAATTCTATTACTTTCTTTGCAATAAGTGACCTTTTTTTAAAAGATTTTCCTTCATTGTAGTCTGTTGCTGGCAGTGATATTGCTGAACTTTTGCTGAAAGATCATGAAATTTTGCGTCCTACCCCTGTTCCATTGAAACATCCATTAGACGCAGCATTAGGTGAACAACATTCCCCTGCAGATGTTAATGATTCTTCCAGCCAATCTCATGCTGGTGATACATCTTCTCCAGATGAAGGAATAGTTGTATTGCACGACAGAACTATTTTAAATAATTCTCGATCTGTAGATGTTGATAAAATCACACGGAAATTCCAAGAATTCCTACTGTTTGGACATAAAAAGGTAAATGACTTTCCAATTTGGAAATCGGTAGAGTAATTCTTCAAAGAAATATCCATATCTTAACAGTTATGACAGACAGCTCGTAATTTTTCATAAAAAATTAACTTACTGATTGATTTGTCACAATGCATTTATAAATGCAGCTAAAATAATAATTTAGTTATGCATTGTTATAAAAAAATTTTATACTTAAAATTGAGTTTTNTGCAGTAATGGAGGTTGAGTTTTTTTTTTTTTTTTTTTAAGCCTGTAGCCAAATTTCTTCAGACTGTTCTGTCTAATAATGACATTAATTTTAAACTGATTGCTTATTCTTTCAAATTCTGATTTATATGATATATTATTTTAGGATGCTTTAGAATGGGCCATGAAACATGGTTTGTGGGGTCATGCCTTATTTCTTGCCTCTAAAATGGATGTTAGGACATATGCGAATGTCATGACACGATTTGCTAATTCTCTAGCCTTAAATGACCCTCTTCAAACCTTATATCAATTGATGTCTGGTAGACAACCTTTAGCTGTCACTGTAAGTTTCTTTTGTTATTTTCTTTAAATTAATTATTCTGTAATTTTTTTAGGTATAAAAATTACCAGTAGTAGTTTTTTTTATAGTATGATTGATACAATATATAGTGGTATCTTTATCCAGTGGTGAGTTACGGTGTTACAAAATCAAGCAACAGCATTTTTTCTATCTGGAACGCCTGCTTTTCACTTATTAAACTGTTGTTTTTGGAAGCGTTGAAACCTTATTTTTAATATTATCGTATTTAATAAGTTTAAATTTTTTTTACTATACTCACTTATAGTTTTGGTTACCAAAAAACATTTCAAACTTTATCTGTTAACATTTTACAAATTATTTGTATTTCTCATGAAAGTAAAATATTGAAGAATAAAATTTTTTATGTCCTTAATTTCATGCGCTATTGTAAATAAATCAAATCAATTATTTGTTGCTCCATTGTACGACTACTCATAATTTAAGACATTCAATGTATATTAATGCAATTTAATAACAGTATGCAATTTAAAATGTTACGTAGATGCAAAAGCTTGTGTGTACTTTTTGCATAGACAGTAATAAAAAAGGTTTTTAATGAAAATGTCTGGAAACAAATAGACAGCATTCTATATGTTTTGCTGGTATAATATATAAATTATGTAATTTAGAATTACTATTTATTGTTGATTAAAGTCATTTATACTATTAAAGCCTAAAAAGTGAAAAATTTAATAGTCTTTTCTTTATATATGGTAACTGTCAGTCTTAATTCTATTTTAAATTAAGTGAGTTTGAACTCCACTCAAGAATGACAGCCTTTGTAGAATTCCTACTTCCACAATCTCAGTAATTTTTTCTTCAATTTTATTTGCTGATTTTTTCTTTCGTCTTTTTATTGCCCAATGTAGTTTTTTTTTTTTTTTTTTGTCAGAGTAAGTTTTTATTTCGATTTTATCAAAATGTAGCTTTGTTTTACTCTTATGCAATTAGAACTGTAAATAATTATACCATAATACAAACTTTTAAATAATAATTATATATTTAATTATCCCTTAGGCTCTCATTATGGTATGTAGTTTATTTTAAAAACATAATTTTTTTTGGTTTTCAATCTTTTGAGTTCTTATTTAAGCTTAAAAGGTAAACTAACATACAATTATTGTTCTTATTTAGAATGCTGCAGATAAAAAATGGGGAGATTGGCGACCACATTTGGCAATGATTTTATCAAATCCCTCATCGCATCCAGAAGTTGATTCTAGAAGCATTACTACACTTGGTGATACACTAGGTATATTTTTTACTTTAATGTTTTACAGTTAACATGTCACCTCTAATGAAATCTATCTAATAATTATTTATTAAAACTGCTTTCATTCTAAAATACTTATCCTTATTAAAATCATTATTTAAAATTTGAACAAAAAAGACATTAGGGTTTGTAAATTCATATTTGATGGAAAAAATAAAAACTTTATTGAAATCTGACAAATTACAATAGAAGACGGATGTAATAAACATCAAAACAGGTTCAGTTGAAGGTTGAAATTTGAAGATGTTACCTATAATTTCTTTTCAACTCCTCTCTGTTTACTCAGACAATCATACCTGACTTGTTATATATTACATTCTCCTTCTCGTACTGCGCTTTATTAGCGTATATTAATTTGTTCATTTTATTACATACTTTTTGTTTTTATTTTTAATAAGAATTTTAAAAACGCAAGTTAACAGGGTGTGTAGCGTTTGTAAAAAGTACTTAAAGGTGCTTTTTGGGGGATTTCGTTTTTAAAAGCTTTTAAAGGTGCTTTTTTCAGCTGGCGTTTCTAAAAAGTGCTTTTTTTCACGTATAATTTTTTTTTCCTTCAGTGATATCTGGCGGATCCCCTGAATTTCACGAAAAATCGGGTGTTTGCTACGTAATCATTCACACGGATTTGTACCCACGTTATGACTTGCGTACCCACGTTAGACTTGCGCATGCGCGCACACTCAAACTGAAACCCGAGTGGTCAAATTCGGATAGAGTCAGATCCTTATTAAATGTTTTTCTTTTTAATTTATTTTAATTTTATTCTTGTTTATTTTATTGTACTTCTAACACTTTTTTGATGTAGGGGGTAAGGGTACTTTTGTTCTGAGTTCAGAGTCAAGTTGAATTCACTCGGTGATGTGGGAAAGTACTGATTGTTTCGATTTACGTCCATTTCTTTTTGGGTTTTTTTTTTAATGCTAAAACTGTTCATAAAAAGTTTTTGTTTTTCAATAATATTATTGATTCAATGTGAATTTTTTGAGTGCTTGAAATTTTTTGTCAAGTGCTTGAAAAGTTTTTAAAAAGTGCTTATTTTTGATTCAAAGATTTGGCTACGCACCCTGGTTAAGGATGGCCTTCACCGAGCATCCTGCTTATGTATATTTATTTGCATATCTTTTGTACTTTATAAAGCTGAAAAGTTATTTGACTGCTGTTGGACTAAAAAAAAAAAAATTTTTTTTTTTACTGATTGTCTGTAAAAAAAATTTTTTTTGAAAGTATTTTTTTTTTTTAAATAAATGTTTGTTATATTTATATTTTTAATATAAATATAGCAAACTATCTTATCTATTTATCTACAATTTTCATCTATAATTATATTTTTAATTTACTAATTGTAGTCTGTAAAAAAATAGTTAAAGTTTTTTTTTGTTTTAAATGTTTGCTGCTATATTGACACACAAATAAAAATGATCTCAAAAGTTCAAAACACTGTGAATATATATGTTTTGGATATGTGTGAAACCTTTTCGTTTTATGCTTGATTGACAGTGTCAGCTAGGTGAAAAAGGATGTAATGTGTTGTGATTGCAGAAATATCATGTAAATAGTTTTTAATATGCCTTACCTAAATGCTCGACTAAATTTGAGGAAAACCATGCCATATTTTAAGAACTGTCAAATTAAATTATAATAATGCAACATGTTAAGCATAACTTGAATAATGCTGATCAAATATTATCTTTTGATTACTATTAATGTCTTTCACAAAATATTAGACCTTTGATCAGAATTGAAAACTAGGGGGTTTGGCCTCTCTTTCTTTATTTAAAATTCAAAAGGTTTATTGTGCGATAATGTCAGAATTTGTTTTTGTTTAAATGATTTGTTAACTTTATCTATTGAAAGACTAATTGTTATTGGAAACATTTTTTTAAAGCAAAAAAAAAAGTTAAACAGTTACTTGGGAAGTTTTCATTTTTATTTTTTTGGAAATGTAGGGGGTGGGATAATCAATTAGTAAACTGGAATAAATAAACAAAAACTTTGGAATTTATGACTTTGAACTATGAATGACTTAAGGAATTCGGCATTATTTCAATTCCAAATACTTATAGATGGCTTACCTCGTTTTTTCCCTCATGGTTCTTCAATTTGCTGAATGATCTTTTCTGATAGTTAAAATGTATAAGAAATATCCAATAATCAAGGTGGCTAAATGGTTAATATGAAAATTATTTAAGTAGAACATGCACAGATAAACAAATATTTTCAACTAGAGATGGTAGAATGTAGATGGCAGCTGACTGGCATTATCAGACAGTTCTCTTCTCTGTGACACTGATTACGCTGAACAGGAAAGAACATGAATATTAATAAGCATAATAAAGTGTCAATGTGCTATATTATTTGGAGATCACATCAAACAGCATAGATTATATATAATGGTGTTTACCTATGTTTGCTTTTTTTTTTTTTTGACTAGATAAAGAGAAATTAATTTATTTCAGTACCAAGACTTAAAAGCATTTTATATATATTTTTCATATGCATTGCTGTAAAGAAATTAAAAATCATAATTTTTATGACTACTTGGTTTTGACTTAATTTCTATTTATTTTTTTAATTTTATGAAATAATTGCTTTATCTACCTTTATTTCTTCTTCAGTTAGTAAAGGATGTCTTTGTGCTGCTCACTTTTGCTACATAATGGCTCAAGTAGAATTTGGAACCTTTGAACAAAAAAATAGCAAGCTTGTTTTGCTCACAGCTGATCACATGTAAGATTTTTGTATTTACTTTTTAAATTAGTTATTTAGTCTTAAAAGTATTTTCATGTTTTGAAAGGCAAATGTATGTTTTAGCAATTTTTTACAAATTATACACAAATCTTTTTTCAGAAACTTAAATTTAATTTTATTGTAGGTTATCGTTTGAAGAATTTGCTAGTAATGAAGCCATACAATGTACTGAAATTTATGAATATGCTCAAAGTTTGGCAAATCCTAGTTTTGTGTTACCTCATCTACAGGTAATGCTATGGGCTAAACTACTTTTACAAATAAATAACTAAAACTATTGAGTTTCTTTAGTTACCTTTTTTTTTATTTTTAGTTCTACAAATTTTTGTATGCTTTGCGCCTTGTTGAACATGGACTTATTGAGGAGGTTAGTTTCATTAAAATTTTGAATACACGCTTTTTCATTATTGTTTTTTACTAAATATATTTGTTTTATTTCATTATTTAGGCTCTTCATTATTGTGAAATTATATCCTACAAGCTTCAAGCTCACCCACACATGTTTCAGTATGACTTTATTTCAGAAGTATTTAAGGTATTCATTTATTTATTTTTTTGTTATTAACTAAAATATCTGCTTATATATTGAAATAAAAGTTTATGATTTTTTAATAAATTTTTTTTATTAGCTGTCCCTCATACAATTTTCAGTTTTAATAATTTTATGAATTTTTAAGATATAATAAAAAACTTTGAAAGAAAACATTAGAATCCATCCATTAAATAAAATAAAATATTATATCAATTCCATCTTAAAAACAGTGGAAATATATTTCAAAATAGCAAAAAATTTTGGATTAAAGTAAAAGTGTTTTACCATGACTTGTTCTTGCACTGATTAACGTTCTTCAATCTCAATTAACATTTGTAATCCAATACTTGCCTTACATTACTGTTTATTAATTTTCAAAGATCTGCATTGTTTTAAAATTTTTCCAACTAAAGAGAATAAAAAATATCCTTAATGATGGAAACTTTAAAAGTTTAATATTTCCTTACAAATTTTTGTATTTTAGAAGTTTGATATTAACTTATAATTATTTGTATTTAATAAGAATCAATAACAACCTAGTCAATTATAATCTATCTAGAGTGCTTACATTTCTACTGGAGCCACGTAACTAAGAAAATCATAAATTTGTTATTTTTTTGATGATTACTTGATTTCATCTTAACTTTATTGCTGGTGACTAATTATTAATTTAAATTATTATCATATTCCTTGCTAGAATATTAACATTTTGACTGGATAATAATATATGTTTCAATAGTTTTCTGATTACTACAAGTAGAATTTTTTGCTAAAAGTAATTTATTGTAAATTAGTTTATAGACCTACTGATGACTAGCTCATGCTACAATCTAAGCTCTGTGCCTGATGAATTTGTTTCTTTTACATTTGTTTCTTGAAAGTTAACGGCAAACTTTATCTTCCTTTTATTGCCAGTCAAAGCTTTGACCACCTTCCGTTAGAGAATAAAAAGAAGAAATCAGTGAATTTAAATACAATTTTAAGAACTACATCTTTTAAGTAAATTAAAAAGGGGAAACCAACTTTGTTTGTCTCGCCTATAAATAAAAATGCAAGGCATATAACTTCCGTGATAAACTTAATTTAACACTCGAAAATCCACTCCTAGAGTTTTTGATATGACAAAAACTAAGTTATTTTCTCTTTAATGGAGTATGCTTATGAAGCATTGTTTTTTAAAAAAATTATTGTTTATGTTAATGAAATTTTTATTTCAGTTAGCAACTCAGTTAAAGTATCATGACCCACATTTCTTGAGAGGTCAAGGAGAATTTGAAGACCAAGACGATCCCGACTGGTTAAAGAATTTAACTGCCTTAATACAAAATTTCAATGTAAGTTAGTTAAAAAAAAATTTCCTACTAATCTGAACTAAGGAAGTAGGTTGAATTATTCTAAATATTTTTCAGAATATATCATCTACTCCTGTTGACAGTTTTACAAATTCTTATGTTGAGCCACAATCTGAAGCTAATCAAAACTTCAATGCTGATCTTCAACAGTTTGTACCTCCGGCCGATCAAAGTAATTGTTTTTTGTTATTAGCGCTAACAGTTTCTGACTGAAAGATTTAATGGAAGACGATGTTAAGGATGTTTAAGTAAATTTCTAAGATTTTGCTTTAGAATATATAGAAATATCAAACTGTTTCCTGTTATATTAAGTAGTCTCAGTGGTCAAAAGTAGCATATTACAAGTATGGAAACTGCTGTGCTTGCTACTTTATTTCGTAGTTTGTAATGTAGTTTGCTACTTCTTTTTTTTTTAAAAAAAAGTAGTGTAGTAAGTTATGCGATACAAAGAAACAGTAGCTTAGAGCAATGTCTGGCAACTATTTTTTTGATGGGTACAAATCGTTGCATGTATGTCATTATACACAATGAAAATGCTCCTGCAGCTGAGCATTAACAGAATTTACGTCTTTAGAATCATGTTTAACTATTTAAAACTATTTATTAAGAATAATAGATGATTTTTCACTTTGGTCACCCTTTCACATGCGAAGGTGCAACCGTGAAACATTGATTTTATTTCAAATGAAGGGAACATATTTTTGATGTACTTAATTCCATAGAAGAAGAAAAAAATGAGCATTAAACACTTGAGAGAATTGCAAAGATATGATAATTTTTATCGTTTCTCAAATTAAATATTTGCTGTCGAGAGTTGAAGATAAAAAGCTAAATGAATAAATTGAAGAGAAAAAAATTTTAGATTAATAAAGGAGCTCATATAAACATGAATAAGTATCTCTTAATAATTCCTCATGTTTGATATAAACTTTATTCAAGCAACAACAATTTTTCATTCAAAACTTCAATTTTTTGTTCAAAACCATTTTGGACATAGGTGTAAACAAAGAAGTTCTCCAACAAAGTTTGTATCCTTAAAGAAATGAAGCAGTTGCTACATTTCAGAAGTAGTTCATTGACACTGCATTTCAAAAAGAGGAATTGTAGTTTGTCTACATTTGTAACAAAGTAATTGTTGCAGCAAGCTACAAAAATAACAGTTTTTCCAAACACTCAGTTGTCTAACTTTATTATTGTGAGTCCTGTTTTAACGAGATGAAAACTCCCGTGTATTAAATGGTGACCGGTGCCCATTAAATCTGTCAGGGTGCGAAGTCCCCCAAGTTCCCATAACAAATCAATACCTCTGGGTACTGATTCAGGTGTTCCCTTGTCTTTTACATAGTGAGCTCCCTTGTCACAATTTTGATAATAGTGAACATGAAATAGGGATTCTTCTCACAGAATAAAGTAAAATGAATAAAAAATGCTTTAATATAATGCTTTTACTGCTCAACAAAGTGTTGCTTTTGCCAATGTTATGTATTTAGCATTACAAGTATCCCGTATCTAATTAATCCCTTATTAAAGGCACAAAACTCTCACATTTTCTTCATAAGTGGAAATAAAAAAGCAGCATTTTGTAGTGCATTTTTTAAATTTAAATTTCAGTTTTGATAATTTTAACACTCTAGTTTACCTTCCTTCTTGTTCTAATAAATTAGACTGAATTTTTAAAATGTTGCTTAACGTGTTCTTCCATTAAGCACTTATTTATTTTCCTAATTACAGTAGTTTATAGTATATAGGTAAAACTACTTAACTATGGTAATTGGTATATTTCAGATATACCTAACTATGGTAATTGGTATATTTCAGATTTACATCAGTCTCAAAATATCACAAACTCTGGAGTTCAAAGTGATACTAGTAGCTCACATACTCATCTAAATTATTACCAGCCAAACAATTGGAGTCAGCAGAATAACAACATTGTAAATTCAAGTTATGCTGCAAGTAGTAAGTTCCAAATTCACAATATTTCTTGTTAATTGATTTATCATTTTGTTGGGTACTCTTGTTGTATTTTAGCTGTCTATCTATGAACTTAGTTTAAGGTGAAACCTGTGTATATTTCTGTAATACAAACTGGTTTGTGTGTTCTAGTTATTAGTAAATATAAGCATACAAAATTAACTATTTACTCGTTGAAATGTAATACTATTTTCTAATTTAGATTCGATTGTTGCTCCAATCCTTAGAAGTTGATTATCTTCCTTTTTAAATGAAATTCTTCCTTTTAAAGATTTAATTCCTGTTCATCTGATTTCTGTTTAGATCAGATTAAAAAGTATGTAGGAGTGGAAATTATTCATAAATTGAGAAAAAATCTATTGGAAAGGCAACTTTTGTTGCTGACATGTGCATGCCTGTTTTAACAGCTGAATTTTTTTTTAAAAAAAGGACTTTGCTTTTTTTATGTATTTTATTAACTAAAAAAAAATTTTAAATATTGAATTCTGTTGAATGGTATTGTTTGAGTTTAAATTTAATCGTAAGAGCGTTAAAAGTTTTGTAGAATCTGAGAAAATGTATTGAATAATAAAAAAAGGAAATTTATTTAATAAAAAAAAATTAAGGAATATTTTTTTTATTTTATCAGATAAAAAAATATTTTTAAGTATTGAATTCTGTTACATGGTATTATTTATGAGTTTAAATTTAATTATAAAAGCATGAAGAGTTGTAAATTAAATTGTGGTCTAAGGCTTTTATTATTTTTCATTTAAGTCTTTATAAAATCATTGATAGTGCTTATTTTTAGTTTGAAAACTTTATTGCAAACCTTGAATTCAAAAAGAAAATGTAAAAATTGTTGCACCTCTTGCTTATTGTGTGTTATTAGTTAAAAATATTTTTTTAGTTTCAATTTTTTTAATCTTAGAAAATAAGTAGTTCTTTGGATACCTATTTAGTTTTCATAATTGATTTTGATTTAATTCATAACACATGTTTTTATTTGGACTATACATAATGTGTTCTAGGTGCAATTGATAATACAGGTTACTACAATCAAAGTGATGTTATGAGCAGCCAAGGAAGCTTTCGTCGAGAAAATAGTATTCCAAGTCACGAAGAGAATGAAACTACGGATGTTCCTTCATCTCCGGTTACTCAAACTCCTCCCTTTGATTATTACTCTGGGGCTACTCAACAGGTACTTTATTTTACTAAAAAAATTTTTATTTGAGTACTAAAGTAAGTTTTTGGTACCAAACCTACAGACTTTGTCCCAGGGTTGCTACAACCTATTTATTAACAAAGGGGAAGGGCAACTTTGCACCAGAACAAATATTTTTCCAGAATTTTTTACATTCTGCTCCAAAAGATGAATTTGAGGGAATGTGTTCTAGTTAGTGATCTTCCTTTTCGCTGCTTTCCTCGTATTCTTGAAAATGTTATTTTTGCTGTGAACTCATGTGTAAATAAATTATCCGGCTATCTAATACAAAGACTATTTTTACAGTGTCATTGTTGGCCATATTTTTTATAAGTATTATTATTATCTAACATCCTTAAGAAACAATGAAAAATAAATAAATATGACAACCGAATCTGACATCTCAGGGGGTACCAACTCCAGAAGCAATAAAAGCTAAACCTTTTCTATGGAGAGAGCATGACAAATGTCTAAATTGCTCTTTCTGTACCCCAAAGTTGGATCTAAGATCTTCCTCAGTATATTTCTTTGAAAAATTAGCAGGTCCTTTTCAGCTTGAGTATTCAGCTTTCACTTTTAAGTCAATTTTGATTTGGTTACCTTATCTTTGCTCTAATCAATTTTGATTTAAATTGATTGATTTGATTTCAGTTTTCAAAGCCTACACAAAAATTTCCTATTCAACTTATTGTGATTACTAGAGCCCGGATTTTGATGACCTAAAAAATCTCAACTAATGCCCTTAAAAAGTGCAAAAAATGCTCTTAAAAAGGGCAAAAAATGGCCTCAAAAATGCAAAAATTGCGCAAAAAATGCCTTAAATAAAGTAAAAATATTGAATTAAAAAAATGTTTTGCTCTTTAAAATTATTATGAGTCATTTAAAAAATATAAAGCAATGCAATACTTGTTCTACGTTCATTAAAGTTTGAAAAATATGTTTTATATCCTAAAATAACAAAAAAAGGAAAATATATTGACACCAAAATATTTTTATTTTGTATAGAAACTTTAATGGATATAACAACTTCCATCTCATAATATTACTAAATATCAGAATTACATTGGATTATTAAATGTTTTTTGATAATTTGAAATGTAAACGAGCGTCTCTTGTCTGAAAGTAAATATTTATACCTGGAGAAGCTTCTTTCAACGTCTACTGATGTTATTGGTGCCTACTTGAAAAAGACGGTCTTACTTACTGACAATTCTTCTTCAATTTGAAAAGATGTTGCTTCACCTGTTAATTCCTATAGATTTTCTTCATTGTTTGGAAGCCAGTGTAATAATGAAAATTGATAAAAAATAATAAAAATTGTAAAAAATTAACAGAAAACTTTAAAAAATGCATTAAAATGCAAAATACGCCCCAAAATTTCAAGAAAAATGCCCTATAAATCTAAAAAAAATGCAAATGTCATCAAAATCCGGGCCTTAGTGATTACCCTCTATTACACTCTAAATGAGGCTTAGCATAATATGACTGCTCTCAAATAATCTAATTAAAATTTGAATCCAGACAGGATCAGAACTTTTTTTGCTTCTTAGGTCGTTGGATTTTGGGAAAGAGTGCTGCTATCTGGAAAAGAAATCGTCTGTCACTTCCCTCATTGAAAAATAAATAAATTTTAAAAAAATGTTATCTATTGGTTTCTTACGGAATTTTTTCTCCCCGAAAACTAACACAATTTGTTGTACGTGAAATGTTGAGTTACATAGTTTTAATAAATTTTAATGCAGTTTAAAAAGGGAACATTTAAAAAAAAAAAGGTTAAGTTTTTGATACAAGTTTGATTTAAAAGGTATACTTTTTATATTATCCGAAGATTTCGAATAGGTTCAAACCCATTTCCTTTGAATTTTCAAGGTTTTATTAAATTTAAAATTTCAAAACAATAGGTAAATGCATAATAATTTTTCATGAAGTACTTGTTTATATCAATTTCCTAAATAATATTGCTATTTATTATGTTACTGATTAGTACAATTTATCATATTATTTTTATAAATATCCCTTGCTGTGATTTGCAAAAATGAATTTTGGTGGTTGTTTTATTAATGTAAATACTACTGTGCAACATAGCAATTAAATATTTTAAAGTAACTTTTCCCTTCAGTAAATTTCAAAAAAATGTAACTGAATTTGTAATTAATTATTTGAGTTAAAACAAATCTCACATAGTTTGCATCTAGTATATTTAATTTTTAGAAGCTGTTAATTTGACATTTAAATAATTTTTTATATTCTTTTTGTATGGTGCAGCATCCTGATTTTAGTTAAGATTGCCTGCAAATCAAGAATAGATAAATAAAAATGCATAATTTGTTTATTTCAAATTGAAATAGCATTTTTCGGATGCTCATAAGTTGAGTTATTATTGGTAAATAATTTAAAATTTTGAACAAATGATACACAAATTACAAATTGTTTTTGCCTACTATTTTCTTTAACTAAGCTATTTAATATTTTAAAGTAATTATTTTGTTTAAGTTTTATATATTTTATAGTTTATTATAAAAAATTTTAGTGTGTATTGACTTACTTTTAGGAGAAAAAATCCTACTATCAGACAAGTTGTAATTTTCTATGGAAACAGGTTGTTTCATTTTTATGACAGCTTTGATGGAAAGCAAATTCTTTTATTTGACGAATAAACCAACAAAAAAGAATGTTTTACGCAGCATACTATTACTTTGCTTTATAATCTTTAACCACATTCAGTTTGATTTCATATATCTGTTTGCTCAAATCCGACCATTATGCTTTTCTTCACACCTGTCATGAATTAAAATAACCCATTTTATTACAGGGTGCGTAGCGTTTTTAAAAAGTGCTTATTTTTGTTTTTTGAAAGCCCTTAAAGGTGCTTTTTTATTGGGTGTTTTTAAAAAGTGCTTAATTTTTCCTTTACCTTGTTGATTTTCGCCTCGTATTATGCACTAAGACACTGTTCATTTTGTTCTATTCGACGTTTTCGCAATTAATTCAACCCCAATCTATTTTGGCATACCGTCGTTCCTTAGTGTATAAAACGCCATTCGTTTTATTATTCAAAATTTCATGATTTTTGACAATTGACAAAAACTTTGCCAAAAGTTTTTTTTTTTACATGACGGTTAAATCCGGATAAAACCGTCAATTGTCAAAAACTTGCCAACCCTGCCTAATTATATTTTTTTTATAAGTGCTTAAAAATATTTTTGAGTGCTTGAAAAGTCTTAAAAGGTGCTTATTTTTTGTTGAAAAATTTGGCTATGCACCCTGTATTAGCAAGCAACGCTTAAATGTCTGATAGCTGAGAGTTTTCTCATGACAATAACTTATTTCATAATGTGTGTTAATTCATTTTATGCATCATTTCAAAAATATTAGTTTGGAAGTAAAAAAATAATACACATGTTTTTAAACATATAAATTAATAATAATTAAAATTTCTCTTGAAAAAGGCAAAGAATATCTAATTAGGTAAATATTTAAAAATATCTAAATAATAAGAGTGTAAAGACTTAAAATTCAGTGATTACTTAATATGTATTTTTGTATGTTAAGCATTCATAAGTAAAATAAAATGTTATATTATTAATTGATGTCATCTGTACCAGCAGATAATATAACTGTTATATAACAGTATCTTTTAGTTGCGAATATATAAAAGGAGTACATAAAACTGCTTTTGTTGCATTAACGAGCATAGAATAGAATCTGCTGTGTGCATTATTTTAATTTCCTTGGCAAAGTAGTGTTTACATTTTATATTTCAGTTGTTTTGCTGGCATTTTTAATTTTTTATGCATGCCTCCAAATGAACATTTTAGAATTATTTTGTTTGGGTATTAATAAGTTACTTCTCTAAATTATTCTGTGCTTTATTTCTTGTTATTAGATGACCATCCTTTTTTTTTCCTGAACCAAGGATAACTATTTAAATTATTTGTTGCTTATTAACTTATTTAAAAAGTAAACGGGACATACTTTTATTCAAAAAGCAAAAGGTTTTGCTCACCAAATGTTTCTGCTTACATAATCCTTATTTATGTGTCACTAAAAACCCTAAAAATGAATTAAGATTTGAAAAATTAAAAAAGAAAAGAAAAATGGGAGATGATAAAAACGCATGGTTTATTGCAATGAGAGATTTGTTTTCATTAGGTTTATGAACAGATGATACTGCTAACAAAAGAAAACTATACAATAATTCCTTAAAAATAGCCTCCATTTGCAGCAGCATCGTAGCACATATTGAGAACCAAATAGAAGATACCAGTGCAAATCAGAGATGAAATATAGATTGNGTGAGCAATTTGAATGTATGTTACTTTTAATTATATTTTCTTGCTATTAGTCTCTACAATGCAATGCTTTGAATAGCGAGTTGAACTTGCTGCTTTCTATGATGAAATTTTAGATTCTAATCACGGCCAAATCTAATGGCTGAAGCGCACTAGCGCAATTTGCAGGAAAAAAGAGAGCTTTTACATTTCCCAAAATAATTAGTATCGATGGGTGCGATGGACATTGGTCGATGAATAGCAAAATTTTTATTTTTTCCCTCTTCATAACATTGTCAAGTTTTTTCAGTCATCTAGTAAAAATCACGGTCGTCATCCAAGCATTCTTGTTGGCACCCTTTTCTGTATCACTCATGTTGGCAAATTCCGCCCTTTTTTAAAATACACAAGAAAAAATAAAAAATTAAGTAAACGTGAACAAAATCTAAAAACCGACGTATAACTGTGCGTCGTATAAACGATATATTTTTACATTAAAATGAATAGGAATGATTTGGGACCACACTAAAACGTCGTATAAATGTAAACGTCGTATAAGTGATCGTCGTATAAACGATGCTCCACTGTATATATATGCTATATATATAATTTAGTTTTTCAGGCAGTACCTCCATCTATTGATGACTTTTGTAACTAATTTTGAAACTGAATAATAAAATAGTTTTCCTAGAACACAAACCACACATTTTTATCTCCCTTAATTTTTCTTCAATTTTTTGTCAAACTGTCGGTGGTTTTGGGCTTTCATCTATTTTGAAATTTTAAAAAAAATTAACTTTAATTTAAAACATTTTGTCTACTGTAATGTTTAAATTCTTGTTGAAAAAAACATCAATGATTGTTAGCATATTAATTTTTTTTTCACTTTTTAAAATCTTCTTATCATTTTAATTTATTACTCCAAATAAATGTGCAATTTCCAGAAACTGAAATACCTTCAAAAGATTTTTTGTTTGAAACGAATTGACATATCAAACCTTTATGTAAATAGTGAATATATTT